CTACGTTTATTTATATGTAATAATAAAAATACATACATACATAGTCTTGCATTTTTAATAGTCATGATTTTTCCGTTTGAAAGGGTTAAAGAATCTGTCTAATGTCGATTGCTTTTCTCTCTTCTTCAGGATTTTTCGTAATTAAATTAATATCTCAGATGTGATCTTTGTTACTCCTTTAGCTGCTTGAGTTTTCTTGATTATACTGTATTTTTCTTAAGTACAATAAGATTGAATTTCGGCCTACTGTACACCTGTTCGCGCCATACTGCCTAGCAACATTAGGCATCTTCTGCCCACTCTCTATCTTTGTTATTATACTCTCACCTTTCGAAAAGAAAAACAGACACAAAACTTAACGAGTGCCTACCCGACAGTCTCGTGAATACATAAAAGAATTGTTTTGTCAGAAAAATAAAAGACTGGAATTACAAGGGAGAGTTTCAAAGTTCAGAGGAATACTATCCGATCGGTATAAACTGGCTTAAGCGTCGATGTCGACGCCTCCAGCACTCCGAAGTGTTTCAAATTGTTACCTGAAGACAAGAGAAAATCAATCGGTATTCATTATTTTACATCGCTTCTTCTTGTATTTATTCTGTGAGGTGTTCGTTATCCGATCATATGTTCATTGTCCGAACATAAAAATCTTTCTCGAAAGTGTTCGTTAACCGATTACCCACTGTACTTTGAAATCATACTCAAGCATTCTAATGTTCTTCTAGGAAAGACAGAAAAGGCTCTTAAAAAAAGGACATGATCACCATGTTTCAGATGAAGTAGCTTTTGGCATGTAGTAGAGCAATCTGGCTGTCTCCATTCATGCTTGTTCCAACAGATTCAGAAAAAACATGTTAGCAGAGAATGGTGGAAGCTCCTTTCCTGAATTGGCATGCGTATAAACAAAACTATGTTGCTATACATAAATACTTGCACTTAAAACTATTTGACACTTTTTGTTTGATTGAAAATAAAACATTATGTGCCTGACAAATAGTATAAACCTTTATTCTGATATTCAATAGTAGCACTTCTAGTTCTACTATTATAACCAACTACACACAAAATTCATCTAAAATTTGAGACATGAAAGAAAGTTTTTTGTCATTTGTGGTACAAGAGGAAGTGAGATTTGATCGTAGCTAAAGTTATAAAGGAATAGAGATGACAATGTGGTTAAATTCTTGGAAACTTTGAGGAACATGTATGGTTGCATGATTCAAATTTGACAACTTATTAATTAAACTGAAAATGTGTTTTACAATAAGCCCAGTCTGATAAACCAGGAACAATACTTTATTGCGTATTGTTCTTAGTTTCCTAGAAACTAGTTAAACTTTCATATTGGTATAGATGATTGTCATTTGGAAAAGCATGCTATAGAACTACTGATATGCCTTTGCATATTTGAGTTGTTTTTAAAGATATTGTTTAAATTAAAAATTCAATTGCAGACACAAATATATCTATTACTGATAGTAATAAAATATCAATAAAAATACTAAAAGATTAAATTGACTTTTCATTTTCAGGTGTCCATTGGGAATAGATATAACCAAAGATGTGACTAATGCAAATATCAAAGTGAAGCCATTTCAGTTTGACAAACATTAACAGTTGATGAGTGTACAGTTTTAAAATTATTTTTATAATAATAAAAATAATTTCTGAAAATATAATAATAAATAAATTATAATAATAAAACAAATTTCCGACTTTGAAAATTATTTACAAAACTATAAACAGAAATTTTTAATTCATGATTCTATTATCAAAAAAATTTCAATTTTACACAAAATTCATTGTTTAAATAATTTTATTATAATGAATTTAATTATTCCAAATTGTTAAATAGTTTAAATAAAAAAAATTTAAATCTCTTATACAATACTTCTGTTAAATAAATTATTTTAATTTCAGAAATTTATAAAACAATTTCCTTGGCATACAAAGTATATTATTTCCATAAAATCTCATTTTATAAATAAAACTGTTGAAAAGATAATTAAGATTCTCCATAATAGTTCCATAAACCGTAAATATTCGTTATTTATTCTTATAGGAAGCTTTTAAAACAAATATTTGTACTATAATAATACATTAGCTTGTTGTCGTTTCATATATAAATTACAATATTCTAGCCATTTTGCACATTTTTCGATCCAATATCATAAAAATTTTCATTGGCAGACAATTTTTTGTAAATATAAATTTGATTGAAAGACATCACACACAATGAAAGTAGTCTGGAAGCTGATTATAAATCATTATAATCAACTAACCATTCATGTAATGCACAAATTTAACTAATAATACATGAATCTTCATTATATGTATATATTTATATATTTTTGAATAATAATTTATACTTCCAAAAACACCAATTCCACTGAGAAAGCATTCAAAATTATAGGACAAATACCTTAAAAGATATATGAATGCACAAAAATCAATAACTAAAAATCTGGCCTTGATTATTACAAAGGAAAAGTGTTAATATTTTATCATGTAAACTTTATCACAACATGATATCAACAACCTTTTAAGGTTTATAACAGTTGCACTAAATAGATGTGTACATCTAAAAATAATTCACATAAAACATTTATGCAAATACAGTGAATAACCTGAAATACAATTAGTTGTTGTATATAGAATTCATTGGATTACGAAATTAAAATCTTATATATTTGTATGATTTACATTTTGATATTCACAGGAGTGTATAAAAGTGAAGTGTTTAAGATTAACAATTGCTCAAATGCAGAATTGGGTTACCAGTACTCGAATTTCAGGTAGTTCACTGTAAACAATGAAATGCATAATTTATTGGAATAAAGTTATATATTTAATTTTCTTTATGAAACAAACAGACAAAAATTATTGCCACATATACAGAAAAAACTACAATAATTATATGCCAACTTACTATCAAAATAATTATTTATATAATGGCACAAAAATTAACATTTAAATATAAATTATTATAATGTGTAACAAAATGTGCATTTGATCTGTTATTATATACAAGAAATAATTATAAACAACTTTTAAAATATCTGAATCAAATGAAACAAGGATGTACAAAACTTACATTTTGATTACTAATGAAATGATCATTAAATCCTGATGATAATCTCTGGAATTACTTTTTAGCACCAATTATCTAGTTTAAATCTTTCTATATGAAATTTATAATAATACAATTATGTAAATTCTTGCAAGCTCATTTGGAATTAAAAAAATCAAAAAGATATTTCATTTTACTGAAATGCATCATGGGTTAGAAATTTCTGGTCGTCTATGACCTCTTCATTTTTATTAATTATCACAGATGTATGTGTGGTGGATGATAACTCGGTGTGATTTTCGTTGGAAATTGATATACCTTGTTCGTCACTGTTAGTAAGCTCGCTGCAACTGTGTGTTCGAGTGTATTTTGAATATATAGAAACTTCAATCCGTCTAGAATTACAATCTGTTGAACTGTTTGGAAAGGAATTTGGCCTTGTGCTTGTATCAGTTTGTATATTTTCTTGATCATATTTTACAGTTTCATATCCTGGTTCTGTGAAGTCAATTTCTTCCCTATCTATTCTTTCATAATTTGGATCGCTAAAGTCACTTTCACAATGCTGGACTCTCTCATAATCTGGATCTTCAACATTATGTCGACCTACTCTTTCATAACCTGGGTCTACCTCACTCTCTGCTCTGTGAACTCTCTCATAGTCTGGATCCTCGTCATCTGGTAAGTTTTCATTATGTCTAACACTTTCATACCCAGGTTCCGATTCATCACAGGATGATATCCCATTAAAATCTACACTTTGTGTTACTTTGTAATTATTTGGGCCATTAGAATCTATGTTGTTATTCACTTTAACAGATTCATAATCTGGGTCATCACAAAGACTTCTTTTCACAGCCTCATATCCTGGATCAGTAGCATCACTATCTGATCTTTGAATTTTTTTAACTTCCTCATATCCAGGATCAGAATCTTCTAGCGATCCAGAACAATTATTGATTGATGCATTGCTATCAATTCTTGATTGTTCTATTTCATCTGTTTTCCTATTAGTCCTTTGTTTTAATTTTTCATATGTTGGTTCACCATTTCCATTTTGTGGTTGCTGCCTTATTTTTTCATAAAGAGGATCATCACAATCTTCCCTTACTTTTTCATAATCAGGTTCACTTTCTTCTTTTTTCTGATTTTTAATAGCTTCATATCCAGGTTCGACATTTTCATTCCAATCTTTCGGTGGATAATCTGCTTCAACAGAATGAACTGGAACCGCAGGTACATAGAGATTAGTGTTTGTAAAAAATTCTTCTCCATTTGGACTGCGCGGTATCCATACAGGAGTCGATACATTGAACACATCATCAGAAATGCCTTCAAATTTATTACTGTCATCCGCATCGGATGAACATCTCACTGACTGCACTCGCTTCTTTCGCACTTTAGCATACATATCTTCTATTTTGGTCCCAGCTTCATTAAAATTTAATAAGCTTGCACCCTCTCCCAAGTGTATGGTTTTTCGTTGTTTATTCGATTTATCAACAACTGAGTACAATCCATTCATATCTGTTGGAGAAGGTGCAGATGTCCCTGAGGTTAATACATTTGGCACACAACTTCCACTGGATGATGTAGATGCTATCGATGCTATAAAAATATTTCAGTTGTTAAAATCAATTGTCATTATTTAATATTTTTATGAATAATTAAGATATTCCATAATAATGTGAAGAAGGAAGCAAAATATACATTTGTTCTCTAATGATTTGTTAATTTTATTAAAATATAAAATGTGTTAATAATTAATGTTTCATAATAATAATAATATACTGTATAATTAAAAATTATTGAAAATTTTTTTATCTGCCTACCTTGTCTTGAATGAGCTTGAGCTACAGATTTTAAACTTTCTACAGTCGGTGGTGCTGGAGGTAATTCTAAATTTCTTTGATCTGAAAACTGTGCAGTTTCTTGTGCAGAATTTATTTCTGCATACATCTGTTCTTCTTCAGTAACTTCAGAATAATAATTTTCATTTTCATTGTATTTTGCCTACATAAAAAAAAAATTACTATCCTAAATTCAGAGTTTATATAAATAATTTCTCAGAAATACATTAACATTTCAACCTGATAATCCTGAACTCTTCCTTTCTGCTTAGTTTGTTGCCGAACTTTTGCCAAAGGTTCTCTCACACTAATGATTGTGTAAGGAGCTTCTTAAATTAAAATTAGAAAATATTTAAATATTTTTAATTGTAATAACAATTTATTAGTAAATAAATTTTGCAAATAGAAAATTTTGAACTTAAATAATGAATTTTATTTTTAAAAATAAATGCATAGAACTTTTATAATTGGTACACACAAAATCCTTTATAAATTTATATTAACATTGACAGTCTTCAGATTTTTGTCAAATTTATATTAACATTGACAGTCTTCAGATTTTTGTCATGAACTGCAAAAAGGCAACAGAAAAATAAATAAATGACTAGAATCACAATGGAAGTGAAAAAAGATGTTGTTGAGAAATATGAAGGTGGCATGCGTGTTCGAGATTTAACTGTTGTATACCGTATTCGAGAACAACAATATTGACAATCATGAAAAATAAAGACATTATTAAATTTGCTAATGTTGCGAAAGGGGTTAAATCAATTTCTAAACAGAGATTAAAGACATTAGATCATGTTGAGAAATTGCTTTTGCTTTGGATAACTGAAAAACAGTCTGCTGGCAACAGCGTTTCAGAAGCAATTATTTGCAAGAAAGCTAAAAAGATGCATGCTGATCTCATGAAAAATCAAGGAGGAACTAGCCAGGAAAGCAAGGTGTTTAAAGCCAGTCATTTTTTTTACATGAGAACAGATTAATCATTTTTACATTACTTCTTATGGAAAAGGTTGGTTTGGTATATGTCTTATTCGGTATAAGTCCAAACACCAGGAACGGATTAAGGTCGTATACTGAAGTTCCACTGTATTTATTTTGTTTGTACAAAATAAAGAAATAATTTTTAACGATTCAATAGCTACGATTATTATTATAAAAATTTTCGTTAGGCTTAACATCGATGAAAATTCAACGCAAAGCGACACGCAACGGAGAAAAATTTCAGCATGTGATTGGTTAATATAATTTTTTGTACATAATTGGTTATCTGAACAACCCCAGTCCCCAATTGATTTGGATAAACAACACTATACTGTAATTCTAAAGAATAAATTTACATAGCAAAACTTTGGTAGTAACAAGACATGCATTATGCATCAGCTTGGCAAATCACAATAGACTACACATTCTATTCTCCAGTTAAATGAACAAGTACTGTACTTTGATAGGCAATTGAAATTTATGTCCATTTTTCATTGTACAGATTAATTTTTATTACTGTGAATAAGTTTCTCTATATTGCAAATAATGACCGTAAGATAAAACAAGCATAGAAGAATTCTGGAAATGGTTAACACAGGAAAACAATATAGATAGAAAATTATTCAGTTATATAAAAAAACATTATTTTAAAAACAGTAATGTTTATTATTATTTTGCATTTTATTGTTTGGAAATTTTTATTAATAGTCTCATTATTCATTTATATTTTTTTGAACAACTGGATTATTTATACAATAGCACAATTGCTTATAAAGAGCATATATACATTGAAAAGTTGTAATTTAAATTTCTGCTCACATTTGTTAAGTCAGCAAGTATTTGGATTAAAAAGGATGGTTTTGAATTTGATATGTTCCATCAACTTTTTATTAAAATTAATAGAAACATTGCTATTATTACATGGAATTTTGTTCCACAACCAATTTCATGAAACGGATTATACTTGAAGAGTTGGCACACACAACCAGTTACAGGTACCTTTGGCTAATTTAAATAAAAGTGAAATTTCTTAGAGGCACAAGTGCACACTTTTTAATTGTGTGGACAAAGAAAGTAAGAGACATTAGGATTTAGAAAATAAATTTCATATTAAAATTTTAATTAAATTTTTCATGGTAAATGAGATTATACTATGTTATAGTATGAAAAAGTCGATCACAATAAAAAAATTTTTTTTTGTTAGAAAAAGATAAAAATAAAACTTGAAATATTATAGCAATAACTGTAAATGTATTAATACACTTTCTATTTTAGTGATGATGTAGTATGGCTATAAATTGACCTTAGGATTATTCTAAATTTTGTTAAATGTGTAAAACTGATAATTGTTTTTGCTCACTATTAAATTTTTGTAAAAACAGTAATTTTTCTTATTATTAGATTAATTTTAACACAGCACATTATAGTTAATTTTAACCTAAGCCATAGCATCAGAAGTAATTGATTTTCTTCAATGTAAGTGAATTGAAACTCAAAAATTATTAAATCTTGAAAATAGCATTGACAAGATCCACTTGATATCATCATTGGTAATGGACAACATTTTCCACCCAAGTTAAGTATATGAATTTTGCCAGATGATACACATCCAAATTCAAAGACTGACAAAATTAGGTAAATTAGATTACGATGCTACAACAGCAAGAACTTAGAAGTTTATATTTCAGATTCAGGATGACAAAAATTATCAAGAGCTGACATGGTCTTCAGGAAGAATGTTGTGTAAAGAAATTTTATAGTTCAAATAAAGCTTGCATAGTTTTCAGTATAACTCAATTTTTCATTTCTTCTCTCATCATTTTTGACAGGTTAAAAATTGTTAATAATAATAAAAATGTGGAAAGAATAAAATTTAGGATGTGTCTATTTATACATAAAGTATGTATATGCAATTGGCTATTTATACATACTGACTGTATATTCCTATATTCTGGCTGGATACCGACTGTATGCGCTGTTATTACAATTAATATTTTGATAATAACTACACAATTATAAATAATTATAGTTTTAAAGTTCAGTTACAATGTTGTTCAATAAAGTAACCAATAAACTATGAAGTATCATTAAATCAGTGAAATATAGGTAATGAAATTTAAAGTAGATTAGTAGGTAAACCAATAAAGTAAAATAAATATATTATTTTTTATTCTGTATTTTAATTTTTTTTTGGTCTGCTTAGTCTTTCTCTTCAGACGTCCTTTGGATTTAATTTTAGTTTTGAATTTTAAGTTTTTATTTGATCGATTTGAGCAGGGCTCGTTATTAGACCAAATTTGTTCTTCAGGTTCTGGTTCAATTTTAAGCCCACTATTCTCATGTTCAAAAAGAGAAATTCCATTTCTTGCATTGCTTTCTATTACTTTTAATTCCTCTACATATTTATTGAAGGCTTGCGTTCCATAATTAGACAAAATATCTGCAATATTTTTAGTTATCGCCAGTGCCATATTAAATTTTTCCCTATCCGATAATAGTTTGTTGGGACAATCAAAATCATCAGTAAAAGTTTCATCTTCAATATGATCATCGATGTCTACATTTACTTCATCTGTATCCATACTTAGTGCATTTTCAATTGAAATAATATATCTTGCATGAAAGCAAGTTTTTGAAAATATGTCCAAATTATTATATTTTCTTATCATAAGAATATGACGACATGGTGCACTAAAAGAATTCCAAAATGAACAAGAACATGTTTCCACCGATGTATTATAAAATTTTGATATTTTGCTATCAAGATTTTCCTCAATGCCATTATTTTTAATTCTCATTTCTTGATAATCGATATCATAATTAGGATATTGATAATCGAAATTTAGGATATCCTAAATTATAAATAACATTAAAACTATCATCTTTACATCATGGCTTTAAAAGGGTTAAATAGCCAATTGAGTATACATATCATATGTATAAATAGCCAATTGCATATACATACTATATGTATAAATAGCCACTTTGTAAAATTTAATATGTCAGTAAAAAGTACAACATGAAATCAACAAAATATATAAAATTACGAAAATTAAATATCTATTTTAGTATAACTCCTCCTCAGGCATAAAAAACAGATTTCAGTTTATTACAAATATATGCATGCTAAGGAATGGTGAGATTTAAGATGAAATTAAAAGACATTTTAGCATTATTAAAAGACATATTAGCATTATTTCCTACTGAAGAATGGTGACAAACTTTGCCACAATTATTATGATACACCAATAACTGCTGTAAATCATACGAGGCTTTACAGTGTGAGTGGCTGTGACTATGCGACATCTAATGGTGGAACTTAGAAGTTCCTCGAGATGGCTGTGATCTACAATTTCCATATTAGAAGAGTGTCTGATACGTGGGCACTTATTATATTCCTGTATCGAAATCAAGAATTGGTTAGAAAACAATCGCATCTCCCGCAACATCATCTCACTACCTGGCGACACCTAGCCTATTCCTGATGTCGTGGGGGTGAGGCCGCTGGTCCCTGCTTTGGTTAGGTCCTGGGGTTCGATGACGAAGATGACGTTGGCGCCTGATTTTGTCAATGCAATAATTCTGCGGCCTTATGGCCACAAGTCACGCAAACACTCACTTTGGCTCGCTTGTGCAACAAACCTAAACCTATCTTCTTTGGTAATGTACTTAAGCCAAGGTTTGATTGACTTACACTCTTGAATGTCGAATCCGCTGTAAAGAAAAATTGGAAGAAAGTTATTGATTATATTAGTTAGAAATAGGTTTAGGTTTGTTGCACAAGTGAGCACGTAGTTTTGAGCAAATGCGGCCGTAAGGCCCCAGAATCATTGCATTGACAACATTGATTGGAGGAATAGCTAGTGCAGAAACTTCTAAGTTCCATCACTAGATGTCGCACAGTCGCAGCCACTCATGCTGTAATGCCTGGTGTAAATCATTAATGCCTAACACCTCCATCTATTGTTAAATTCATTTGTAATTTATAATTATTATTTCCAATTATTACCCGATGATTTACAGCAGTTGTTGGTGTATCATTGCATAGCATCAGGTTTCAGTATAGATGCTTATATGTATCCACAATTATTCTAAATTTGTAGCCAATTCAAAAATATTGAAAATAATAAATTATACATTATTATATTAATCCAATAAATTGATCATATTAACATATATATTTTGATAAATGTCAATTTTTGAATATTTTCTCTCCATTTATCACAAGTATTTTCATAGAAATAGAATTTATTACAATTGTATTCATAATATGTAGTTTATAACTTGTTAAATCACAATACTCATATATATATATATATATACATACATACAATACTCATATATATATATATATATATATATATAATACACATACAAATGAATATTGTGATGTAGTTGTAAACTAAATTTGGATGTTACCACAATAATTATTTACATATAAACATAATGATATGATTGTGACAACCTCCAAATATCGATAGAAATAAATCTTATTTTATGAAAAATTTTCTAAATACATATTTCTTTATGCAAGATGAAGTTATACCTTGAAAATTATTTTCTTCTTGAGATGTTACTATCGAAATAATATTAGACTGAGATACAGGTGGAGTCATATAAGGTATTTCAGCAGAAGCAACATTTCCAGCAACTGCTTGGCCAGCTATTGTATTTGATAAATCTTCATTTTGTTCTTGATTATGAGCTGAAATTCAGAAAATGACAATTAGAATTTATACACATTTTTTATTTTTACATTTTATAATTTTATTCAATTTCTAAATATTTTATTTCTATTAAATATGTAATATTCTAATATAAGCTTAAATACAGTATAATTGATTTATGTTACATCTTATATTCAAAAATACAGTATTCATCTGAAAAGTTCTCTTGATTAATTTTTTAATTCCTGAAATTTTTTGTGAACTAAGAATATAAAACATTTTAATTAAAACAAATTATCAACATTCAAAAATATATTTACATATTTCAGGAATAGATGCCAAATCATCATCATAAATATTTTGCTTTTCTGGAACTGGAGGTGGTTCATATAAATCAGACTGAAAATTTGGCCATTGTTTTCTGTTCCTTCGAAATTTATCTGGATCATCATATTCATCAGTATCATGATCTGAATCTGACTGACCTTTTAACTTCTCATATGGATTTTTAGGATGCCTTTGAACTTCTGCATACATATGTGATATGTTAGGAGAACTGTACTCAATAGATGCATTGTTTGATGAGTTAGGAATAGAATTAGTTGGAGATGATGATACTTTGCTCTAAAATTACAAATTATATACATTATAAG